CCTATAACAAAGTATGTCCCATGATATCAAGGTTGACAGATTCAGTTTCCAGGCTCAGCTGCACTAAAAATGAACTGATGGGGACACACCCACACTTGCCCTCTCCTCTGTTAAGGAAAGCTCCTTCTGTAGCACGATCTGTGAATAGGGGGATAATCCCCCCATTCTGGAAGAGGTCAGGGCAGCCTTGCAATGAAAATTTCTACAGAATTCAGCAGCCTGCACATTGTGGGACATACCTGATTACAGATAAATAATATAACTAAAGCTCTGAAGAAAAAATGTTGTTAAAGTGAAGCTCCACCCAAAAGGGGAAGTTCAGCTTTAAAGACTAGTCCCCCGATCCCCATTAAGGATTGGCACCTTTGAGGAGAGGGTACCTGAAATTGACAAGTACCCACTCCAACTTCCGCTGCGATTGCCTAGGCCCTCCCTCCATGTAGTCTTCTTGGACCCTTGACAGGTCCCAGAAGACTATGGGACCATTTCAAAAGTTCAGCGCTACTCACGCATGCGCAGTGAGCACCTGGCTGTGAAGCTACAGGCTGTCACAGCCGGGTGCCCACACTGAAGATGCCGGTGCCGGGAACACTGGGCGGCCGGTGAAACGGGCTGCTGAGAGGACACCGCGGGACCAAGGGACAGGTGAGTGACAGTTTTTGTAGCTGCTGACTTTTATTTTTTTTACAGTGTGACTGGAACTCCGCTTTAACTAAACTTCAGGTTTAATCCTAGGTTCACACTATGAAATGCCTATGAATTGCACACTGCATTTCTGTGCAATTCACATGCGACTGAATGTAGTGCAATTTAATCCAATTCATTTTGAGTGGGTTCAAATTGCACCACATCGCACCAAAGTAGTGCATTCACTACTATAATGAACTGCAACCGGATCACATGGCAATTTTGCACCACGGGGTTGATCTACCAAAACTGGAGAGTGCAAAATCTGGTGCAGCTGTGCATGGTAGCCAATCAGCTTCTAACTTCAACTTGCTCGATTAAGCTTTGATAATAGAAACCTGGAAGCTGATAAGTTTCTATGCACAGCATCGGCCCCCCATGTGAACCAGTGCAGGCAAACACACTGCGTTTGCGACCTGTGTGTCGGGGTGTCATTAACATTGCACTTACTCTCATTACAGATCACAAGGGCAGTGCATTTTTGAATGAAGTGTGGGAGACACGCATCTCTGGTTTCCTGAACAGAGTTCTAGTGTGAACTAAAGCTAAATGAAAAATATGTTTCCATTAAGAAAATGATACATGATACATAATTGTTAGTGAACACATTTTGTAATTAAATGCTTTTTAAAATTTCAGCTCACAGTCAGCTGGGAAGGCAAATTCTAACAATCTTTCTTTACAATCCTGTTTATTGAGAAATTGTCATCAAATATCAGCCTGACAAAACCTTGACATGTTTTGTGCACTAGCACTTAATCATATGATAATTAAGTATAAAGAAAACCAAAAAAAAAAGCTTCCTGGTGCCAAATCCTATTGATACAGAAAAAAAAGAAACTGAACTGCTAGGTACGACAAAGGCATTGGATTCTTTGGGCACAGTAAGAGACCACACAGTAAAATACATATAACCATTTATTGACATAAAAGAGTCATATATTCATGAAAGGACCCATAGTACAGACATGTCCTTCAATAGAGGGAACAAGAGCAAAAAAGGTCGTAGTTATAAGGACAATACCCCCTCATATATAAAAAAAAAAGTACCACAAAGCACATAGTAATAATACACCGTGTTACAAATTATTATGCAAATTCTATTTAAGTGTCACAAAGATTAAATATTTTGTTTTTCAGTTGACCTCATGGATGGCATTGTGTGTCAGGGCTCTTTTGATCACTGAAAACAATCTCGGACACCTGTGATAATTAGATTGGCCGGTGAGCCCAATTTAGGGAAAACTACTAAAGGAGGGTCTTCCACATTATTAAGCAGAGCACCATTTTCAAGCAATATGGGGAAGAAAAAGGATCTCTCTGCTGCCAAAAAGAGTGAAATAGTTCAATGCCTTGGACGAGGTATGAAAACATTAGATATTTCACGAAAACGTAAGCGTGATCATCGCACTATTAAGAGATTTGTGGCTGATTCAGAGCACAGACGGGTTCGTGCAGATAAAGGCACATTGAGGAAGATTTCTGCCAGATCCATGCATCGGATCAAGAGAGCAGCTGCTAAAATACCATTACATAGCAGCAAACAGATATTTGAAGCTGCTGGTGCCTCTGGAGTCCCACGGACATCAAGGTGTAGAGTCCTCCAGAGTCTGGCAACTGTACATAAACCTTCTATTCAGCCACCAATAACCAATGCTCACAAGCAGAAACGGCTGCATTGGGCAGAAAAATACATGAAGACTAATTTTTAAACAGTCCTGTTCACTGATGAGTGCCGTGCAACCCTGGATGGTCCAGATGGATAGAGTAGTGGATGGTTGGTGAACGGCCACCCTGTTCCAACAAGGCTGCGACATCAGCAAGGTGGTGGTAGAGTCATGTTTTGGCCCGGAATCATGGGAGCAGAGCTGGTCCGCCCCTTTAGGGGCCCCAAAGGTGTAAAGATGACCTCTGCAAAGTATGTGGAGTTTATGACTGACCACTTTCTTCCCTGGTACAGAAGGAAGAACTATGCTTTCCATAATAAAATCATATTTATGTATGACAATGCACCATCTCATGCTGCAAAGAATACCGCTGCATCAATGGCTGTTATGGGGATAAAAGGAGAGAAAGTCATGGTGTGGCCTCCATCCTCCCCTGACCTCAATCCTATTGAGAACCTTTGGAGCATCCTCAAGCAAAAGATCTATGAGGGTGGGAGGAAGTTTACATCCAAACAGCAGCTCTGGGAGGCTATTGTGACATCTTGCAAACAAATTCAAGCAGAAACTGTCCAAAAACTCACAAGTTCAATGGATGCAAGACTTGTGAAGCTGCTATCAAATAAGGGGTCCTATGTTAAAATGTAATGTGACCTGTTAAAATGTTTAAAAAGTTAAAATGTTGTTAAAAGTTTGAGTGAAATAGCTTTTGATTTCAGTAAATATGCTGCAAACACAACAAATGACAATTTTCAGTTCTTTACAACCTATAAAGTGTTTGAAACTTACTGTGCGTAATAATTTGGTACAGTGCATTGTAAGTTTTTGATGTTTAACAAAAATACTGTTATCATTAGGAGGTTTGTTCAATAAAATGTGAATTGTACTCTTAATAGTTGATAACATGAGAATTATGCTGACTGTTATTTACATCAATTAATTATCATTTGCATAATAATTTGGAACACGGTGTATGCATACATCAAAATACAGTCAACGCGTTTCGCCTGTGCATTTGGCTTCTTCAGGACCATAGCTTGAATGAGGGAGAAAAGTGCTACTGCATGTATAAAGAAAATACAAAATGATTGTACAAACAAACACACAAATATACATAAGATCAACAAGATACATGTGTGTAAAATTAAGCTGAGCTTACGTGGAAAGGACAGATGAGCAGCACAGAAGTCTGGAGGGTGGACATAGGGGACCAGAGCTTGAAGCGAGCCAATCAAAAACTCGAAAGCCAGTTGTAGTATAAAGAAATCCTATAATAAGAAGTATATAAAATTACCACCGAATATGGCCTGAGTTGGCCAGTACTCATGATAATTCTATAGTCTGTCTACTTCCAGCAGGAATAAAACAACTTTATATCCACAAAGATATGGAGAGGAACACAGATGACTAAGACATTGGTGGGCCTGCAAAATAGCCATATATTAATGGGATCAAGTAATCAAAATCGGTGTACTTGCCATATCAAGCGAGATGAAAAATATAACCAACCTGCATATCTGGCCAGCAAGAGTAACATAGTAACATACACTATCCCAGTCCAACCAGGGTCCCAGGTATACCCATATACTGGAAAAGCCAAATGAGGTGGCAGAGTGATTAGCCGATGATAATAGTAGTCAATCAAGATGTATTACCTATAATACCAAGCAATAGTGGGTAACTGGCCTCAAACAAATGGGGGAAAAAAAAGGGAAAGCAGAATCAGTATATACCGTATTTTTCGCTCCATAAGACGCACTTTTTTCCCCCAAAAAAAGGGGGGAAAATGTCAGTGCGTCTTATGGAGCGAATATAAAGCGGCCGGTCCGGTATTTCTGCCGCCACCATGTCAGAACACCGGGCCGGCCGCTCAGCTGTTCTCTCCTGCAGGGCCTTACCTGTTCCTCGCTCCAGCGCTGCACAGTCTTCCCGCGCTGGCTTCTGTGACAGCCGGGTGCCCACTGCGCATGTGCTGCGCTTTGTGAATGATCCGGTGTCTTCTGGGACACATGACAGGTCCCAGATTCACAAAGCGCAGCGCTTCTCGCGCATGCGCAGTGGGCACCCGGCTGTCACAGAAGCTGGCCCGGGAAGAAGAGGGAAGGCAACTCCGCGGAAGTGGGAGCGGGTACCTGTCAAATTCAGGTACCCGCTCCCCCTCCCTCCCCAAAGGTCAGCAGTCTCTGGTCATTCCCTGCACTGTCTACAGTCTCTGGTCATCCCCTGCACTGTCTGCAGTCTCTGGTCATCCCCTGCACTGTCTGCAGTCTCTGGTCATTCCCTGCACTGTGTCCAGTCTCTGGTCATCCCCTGCACTGTGTCCGCAGTCTCTGGTCATCTCCTGCATGTGTCCGCAGTCTCTGGTCATCTCCTGCACTGTGTCCGCAGTCTCTGGTCATCTCCTGCACTGTGTCCGCAGTCTCTGGTCATCCCCTGCACTGTGTCCGCAGTCTCTGGTCATCTCCTGCACTGTGTCCGCAGTCTCTGGTCATCTCCTGCACTGTGTCCGCAGTCTCTGTCATCCCCTGTACTGTGTCCGCAGTCTCTGGTCATTCCCTGCACTGTGTCTGCAGTCTCTGGTCATCTCCTGCACTGTGTCCGCAGTCTCTGGTCATCTCCTGTACTGTGTCCGCAGTCTCTGGTCATCTCCTGTACTGTGTCCGCAGTCTCTGGTCATCTCCTGTACTGTGTCCGCAGTCTCTGGTCATCTCCTGTACTGTGTCCGCAGTCTCTGGTCATCTCCTGTACTGTGTCCGCAGTCTCTGGTCATCTCCTGTACTGTGTCCCGCAGTCTCTGGTCATCTCCTGTACTGTGTCTGCAGTCTCTGGTCATCTCCTGTACTGTGTCCACAGTCTCTGGTCATCTCCTGTACTGAGTATGTCGTCTCTGTCATCTCTGTACTGAGTCTGTCGTCTCTGGTCATCCTCTGTACTATGTCTGCAGTCCATTGGTTCAGAATATTTTTTTTTCTTGTTTTTCGCCTCTAAAACCTAGGTGCGTCTTATGGTCAGGTGCGTCTTATGGAGCGAAAAATACGGTATGTATTTTACTGTGTCTCTTACTGTGCCCAAAGAATCCAATGCCTTTGGCATATCTAGCAGTTTGGTTTCTTTTTTTTCATGATAATTAAGTACTAACAGACAAAACTTATGAGGGTTTTGTCAGTCTTACATTAAAGAGAACATGACAATAAACACAATTGTTTGGTTTTTTACCTTTGCTTTGGATTTTAGTGTGAAAAATCTGGATGTAACATCACATCTCTCAAGAAATCTCATTTTCTGCTCATGTGATTGGCATGCTGCTCTTTCTAGAAGTTTGCACAGAGCTCGGGGTCACATTTCAAGAATCCCCTGAATGATCCTTAGGCTTGCTACAGTATTTTTCATGTTTGTTAAAAAACAAGGAGCCTGTCAGGAAACTAGTACAGTTACTGCTAATTCTTCTACAGCTAATGCTCATTCTCATGCAGCTACTGCTCATTTCCTTGCAGTGAAAGGGTTACTAAACCCACAACCAGGGGCGGACTGACCATTTGGAAACTCGGGCACTGCCCGAGGGCCCGGGGTCAGTATGAGATGACCCTGGTACCTTTTTCATAGGCTTTTTTTAAGTTTGGGCAAGGACACAGGGGCCCCATTATCCCCTATTGCCCAGGGGCCCCATGAGTTGTCAGTCCGCCCCTGCCCACAACAGTAAAGTCAATCTGTATACGCAATAAAGCATGCTTGTTATACCCACTGTGGAACCTAAGGAGTTAATCCTCTGCATTGCTTAACCACTCGCCCTCCAGAGGATTTACCCCCCCCCCCCCCCTTCCTGACCAGGCCATTTTTTTGCGATACGGGGCTGCATTATTTTAACTGACAATTGCGCGGTCATGCAACGATGCACCCAAATGAAATGTAAGTCTTTTTTTTCCCCACAAATAGAGTTTTCTTTTGTTGGTATTTGTTGGGCTATAAACAAAAAAAGACAAACAATTTTGAGAAAATAAACAATATTTTTGACTTTTTGCTATTCAGCAAGTCTAGTAAAAACAATTTTAAAAATCAAATTTCTTCATAAATTTAGGCCAAAATGTATTCGGTGACATGTCTTTGCTAAAAAAAAAATCCCAAAAAGTGTACGTGAAAGTTATAGTGTTTACAAATGGGGGTATATATACTGGAATTTTTTTTTTACTAGTAATGGTGGCGATCAGTGATTTATAGGGGGACTGCGGCAGGCATTCTGACACAAGGGGGAACTGGCCTGGTGTCACTGACATCCCCAGTGACACCAATATAGTGCTCAGTGCTAATAAAAAGCACTGACACTGTACTAATGACACTGGGCAGGAAGGAGTCAACATCTGGGGCAATGAAAGGGTTAACTGTGTGCTGTTTCACTATGTGGGCTGTGTTGGTGCTTCACTGTAAGCACACTGCTTACATCTCCTGCATACAAAGCAGTGTGCAGGAGCTGACAAGAGAAATCTGTTACATAGTTACGTAGTTTGTCTGGCTGAAAAAAGACAAAAGTCCATCCAGTTCAACCATTAAAAAAAATGTTATAATCCTACACCCACAGTTGATCCAGAGGAAGGGAAAAAAAAACAGCAAAGCATGATCCAATTTGGTCCTGCAGGGAAAAAATTCCTTCCTGAACCCCCATGAGGCAATCGGATATTCCCTGGATCAACTTTACCTATAAATATCTGTGTTGTTTACATACAGGTCTCTCCCCTGTTGGAGATACTCGGCCGGGACCCAGTGATTGACAGCCAAGGCCGCAAATGGCGGCGCGGGTAGGGCGTATAAATACGTGATTGTGCGCACCCATGCCGCCATGTAGCAGTATTTCTACTATAGGGCAGTGTGGAAGCAGTTAAAAATGCTGTTTGATCCTGCCTTCTCTGATCCTCCCCTTCTTCCAATGTCTCCCTCTTATCTCCTGATAAGACATATCGTGTGGAGACACTCTGCACATGCTCAGTTTAGTGTGTATTGCTAGAGAGTTTTTTTTTTTTTCTTGAGAGAGTACGTGTGATCAGCACAGGGCCAATCAACACTGTCCAGACAGAGGTCAGGGGTTTTGCATTCTCCTAGAGCAGAAAGAAAATTCCTTCTACAAGCTTTAACATGTGCTCTGCTGGACACTGATAGAAGTCACACGACTGTTCTAACTGCTGATGAGAAAATGTATTTAGCAGTTTATATTTACTAAAATAATGACATTTCCATGTAGTGTGTACCCGGGGAGACCAGACAGAGTGAATGCAGGGTCCGGGGTTTAATAACACTTTAATACTCATGCACACAGACGAGCTCAGGGTATTGTCCAGCGTGCACTGACTCTGGCATTTTTGTGCGTCAGCGTGCATCAGAACACATGTCCTCATGCATTGGCGCCAAGCTGCCTATGTAAAGGAGACTCTGCTGTGTACTAATTGATGGATGTTCTTCAGCTTCCTGTGATCTGTGTTCCTGTTTGTACTGACTGATCTTCCATTGCTAACCTGGCTAGTTCATGACCTTCCTCTGTGGAGTCTGGATTCTGAACTTGCCTTAGACTTTTCTCTGCCTGATCTCCTGGTGCTGACCTCAGCTTGCCTCTGACTCTTCTGCCTGATCTCCTTGGCTTGCTACCTACTGGACCTTGCTCTGCCTGCCTCCCTGGTACCGACCCCAGCCTACCTCCTGACCAGGGCTCACCTTGACTACATCGCTGGTTGTGGCAATCACCTGCTATCAAGCTACCCATGCTTCTTTGAGCCTTATATCTCTGTCACCTCATTCAGGGGTGCTTGGACCAGAGTCGCAAGGGAAGCCCTCTTGTCAACTCAGCCTCCAACCAAGGTACGTGACAGCCAAAAACTATTCTGCAATAGCCAAAAAGTATGTAAAACCACTTTGTCTGCTCCTTTACAAATCTAGATATTACATTGTAAACCTAATGGTTATCATTGTGCTATATATAGTCTGTGCAGAGAGACTGGCTGCAGAAAACTACATAAGGGGGTGGACCAGGGGCAGACTGGCCATTTAGGAACTCAGGAACTGCAAGAGGGCCCAGGGTCAGTAGGGGGCCCCATGAGATGCCCCTGGTACCTTTCATAGGCTTTTTTGGGTGTGGTTTGAGTGTGGGTGAGGACACAGGGGCCCCATGATCCCCTATTGCCCGGGGGCCCCATGAGTTGTCAGTCCACCCCTGGGGTGGACAGAAGAACAGTCATCCTTTACAAGGAGACAGAGCAGCAGTGACCGGTCTTTATTACAGAAAGTGTCTCCACAGTAGAAAAGTTTCACACTGGATTACTGCACAGATCTGGAATAAATACACAACGTATACCAAGATTCATGTACTGGACATGTCTCTTAATTCTACAAGAGTAGAGACAGGTAAAACCCTCACCAGATTAGTTCTTACAAATGGTGCCTTGCTGGGGAGATTAGCCTTCTTCTCCTGCCCTGACGATGCAGCATCAAATGACAGGGGGTCACCCCAGAATGAGGGCATTTCCCACTTAGTTGTTATTAGAGCATTTGTCCCCATTGTAGGATTTTTCTTCACCTTTTGTTTAGGTGACAATTGAAACATTTGGATTTCCCATCACTTTCTATCTTGATGATATTGGGCACCAGGAAAGGGTGATTCTCCCCAGCAAGGGCAGAGGAAAAAACAAACAAAAAGACAGAATCTAACCCTTTCCCATTCCATCTAAAAAAAAAATTAAATAAATAAATAAAAAGAACAGTTTTGGTTATAGGTGCACTGTAATGTAAAGTGTATTGCCATAAGAGTTTTGGGGGTCACATAAGTGCTTTGAACAGATCACTTTTTCCTCCTTAGAAAATGTACCAGTATGAAGAAAAACAATAGCCCATTACAAGACAAAATAAAAAAGCAGCTTCTGCTGCAATACCCATCTATTATCCAGTGCACTCCCCCGCAGTACCTTTCTGCTATTAGATGTCCTCATTACACTGAGCTGAATGAGGAAAGCATCATTCAACCTACTTCCTCTGAGCCCAGACTATCATGGGCCCACCTCCAGCCTGTGATTGGACAGTGAAGGACAAGGAGCACAGTGAAGAACTCATCTTTCTGTTACTCTGCTCTCTCCACCTTGTCAGCACATGAACTGATTGACTCTTTGTGCTGCTTCTTCCTCTTTCAGTCTGAGCTCTGCTGTACAGGGACTGCAAAAGGCAGATTTCACTTTCAAGTATTTACATTGTTTGAACTAAACCATATATTCATGATGTATTTTGGAATGCAGAACTGCATTGATTTGTTTTTATCATGCCTGTTATCACTACTGTGTCACGAGATTCCCCATAGAGGGCTGGTACCCTATTATATAATTTACCATGCCATTGCTGTTAGAAAAAACTCTAGTACTATTATGGCACCCTAATCAGTCTAGCAATCACATCAACATATAAAAAATGTACCGTATATTGAAAAAACATTGAAGTTAATACATTGGTACTCTTTATATACAAGTGGGGCCTATGTATAATCTATTACACCAAAAAAAAAAAACTAAAATAAATAGCTGATTCTTTTCTATCTGTCCAGAGTTCAGCTTTAAGTACACTTTTACCATTCTTTTTAGTTACTTTTTATTTTTAACAAACCAGCAGTTATACCAGTCAGAGCCTATTCTCCAAGAAGTGAAAGGGTTAAATGTATTTGCATGGTGAGGAACATCTCCTGCATACCTTCACCTCCCTCCACTGTGGCCACCATGGCTGTCACTTGCTCTTAAATTCATCCTTGTTTCCCATTGCAGTCTAGCTGAGAAGCCATCAGCCCTTGGCCGTTCAGTCTCCATTTTCTCCCTGTCAGCCTAGAGCAATCGCTTCTGGGCCCAGAGACCGCACTGATGCGCTTGATTAACCTTCTTTCTTTGACAGGTTTCCTGGTAACCTCCATCTCCCTCCAGGACTTCCCAAGACCCTGCCAACCTCCTGCCACCTCTGTACAGTGCTACACAACTCAGAAAGAGCTGCACATTGT